TTTTCTCATGTTCCCATTATCTGTACTAGTATCAACAGCAATATGTTAGATTTGGGCCTTCGTTATCAACAATGTGATGTGCTATATATATATATATATATAAGGAAACTAACTAAGGAAATTGATCAACTTTAAAGTAGAGTTCAATTTTAAAATATGAGAGACCACTCCTACAAAAGATTTTATTGGTTATTGAAAATTAATAAATTAAAAGTGCCAATGAGATATCAAGGCGAAAATGACGAGAAGACATTTTTCCTTCCTCATCGCCATTTTTTACCACAAGAATAATTGTTCCGAAGACAAGAGTGTATCTTCGATTTGGTTGGATGAGCAAGAAAGAATGAGAGGAAAAAAAAAAAATGCTTCATTTTAAAGAGAAAATAATATAGATTATATCTTTTTTTAATTCTGTGTTTTTTTCTTTATCCGCCCATGAAAGAATAGAAAATTTTTATTTCAACAGTGAACATAATTTTTGGAAGAGCTGAAATGGTTTTAGTTTGAATACATCATTTTCCGCCTTGTTTAACCACGAAATGGATCATGAATGTTTTCAATGAAAAATAGTATTTTCGCTGTAAAATTTTTTTTTGATGATCTTAAAGTATAAAAACTTGCAAAAACTCTGCTGAAATATATTGGGTAACCAACTACCTAAAAATGCATTTTGTAAAAGTATTTTTTCATAAAATTAGGTTAAAGACATATGTGATTTTGACTCAACCCTTAATAAGGCTTAATAATGAACTGTATTATTTGTTATATAATATTGTCAAGAAACGGAAATAAATATTTATCAGTGGAAAATTTTTATTTGTTTCAAAATGTTAGGTGGAAAAAGTTGAAATGTTTTGAAGATTCAAACCAGATGCCCATCTACAAGACTCTCTAATATGTGAATCACGTAAAGGAAAAAAAAACGAACTTATTTAAAAATGCAAACGTATTGTTGCCTACAAAAAAAATGGGAAATAAAATATAGGTGAAAAGTAAAACAAGGGAAAAAACATGACAGGCTAAGGGAACAACTGTGGCCGAAAGAGACATGCCAGGAAAGTTGTCATTTCTAAGCGAAAATGAGTCTCAGCGTTTTTCTGGAGAAGGGACGAACAAATGTCATCAACAAGGGAGTTAGCTTGCTTCCAGAGCATCAAAATGAGTGGATGTGACAAGAGTGGAGAGAATTGTGGCGTTATCGAAGTTAAAAAATCACTCTAATAAGAATTAACTTGGATCAAACCAGTTTTAAAAAAGCTGCATCAACTGTACAAAGGTTTGAAATCACAGCAGTAAGAGAATGGAGTAAATGCAGAATTGTTCAGCAGTTACTGTGTTAGGAGTTAATATGGGAGAACACAAAGTTTGAATTAATTGGGTGATAAAAATAACACAAGTAACAATAAACAGATATTAAAACATGAGCAAGGTGTTTATTTACTTTCACATCTAAAAAAGATTAGGTAAAAATATTTCCTGCGTCTAATTAGTTCTAAGGGAATCTGAGTCTGAATTTTGGGGTAGATGAAGTTAATAATAGAGAGTGATTCTTGAAAATATGTGTCACTGTCTTCTAAAACATATGCTTCGTTAACTTATCTTTACCACATTGAGAATTTTAAAAATGGAAGGACTTAATAAATCAGGGCCGTGGTAACCCAGGCGATCGAGAATCGGTCTCCAGTCCGGAAGGGCCGGGGTTCGATCCCTAACTCCGGTAAGACCCTGGTGAAAGTGCAGGGATAGGTTCGGGGATCTGGTGAAAATGTTCTTTCCTTTGAGATCTATGTCTAAAATGAGGAAATGTCCCTACAAATTTTGATGGCATGTCTTTAGACCATCATTAAGGATGATGTTTTATAGACCATTACCACTAGCCCATTGTACAGCTCTAGTGCGACGTAAATTAGGTACTTACCTATCTATCTTGAAAATAAATCTTAAAAATGTCGCAAGCATGAGAGAGAGAGGAGATTGTTTACATCTAAACTATCAATTCATTGATAGAATTTACCACTGAGCTGTTTACTCAAAACAGGAATTAACTCTAGGGAGATAGTTTCCGTATATTCAATAAAAGAGTAATGAGACCGTAGTTTTAAAGATTTCTTGAAAAATTGACTGTTTAAAACTACCAAAAAACTTTATCTTTTAATTTAATAATCATTTAATTAAAAAAATGTAGAATAACATTTAATTAAAAAAACATTTTTAATGTGAACGGTGTTCAGTTATTAATATTTACTTTTTGAATCCTACTTTAAAATGTTGCGAAAAATTACGGACATTTGAAGATTAATGGATATTTAAGTCATATAAAATCAAAAATTCGAATCAGCATTGAATGAATCCACACTGAAAAAACTTCTGCTTCACGGATCATGGGTTAGAAACCTCTTGCCGTCAGACTAACCTTGGAAAGTTTTCGCATTTTTCCTGTCCATGTAACACAAATGTGAGTTAATTCCATCAAAAATTCTTCATTAAGGCAAATTTATCCGAATGTTTGAGCCAGAAGTTTCCTTGTCTTCTGGAAAGGATTTAAAATTACAAGGCTACGGAGTTGAGCATTGGAAGGTGTAAACTCAAAAATTGGATCAGTTATTCAACACCGGTTATAAAATTAAGTAAGCCTATGGCATACGAAGTAATGTAACATCTAAGATCGCATGTCTAATGCAGATATCTAGCTTTATATATCAAATTGGCTACATGAAACTTCACCCCAGATTTTTTTTAAAAAAAGTAATTAACAAATGAAACTACTTTGATATCAATTTTTTAAGTATTAAAAGTTGAGAAAGTAACATTAAGTTCGATTAATTAAAAGACATCATAAATGCATAGAAGAGTTTTCCCGCGAAAAGCAATAAAATACTGAATTAAGGAAGTTTTTTTTGCAAAGGAACTTGTTTTTCATAGGGATCTTATGGAAACCCATAAAAATTCAAAATGTTGCTTAGTATGATAATTACTGGGTTATGATAACTGCAGGGTTAATTATCTTAAATTGTGATTTTTAAAAAAAATTATATTGCTCTCTATATAGCACTTCTAAATGAATTGCTTTAATATGAGTTTCTATAAGTATTTAAATTTATTTATGGATTTTGATTGCAAAATAACTGAAAATGACATTTAATTTTCATATCGTTCATGATTAAATATTGTTAGATAACACTATTTTTTAATGTTAGTGCAAAAATTATGAATATAAATTTATTGAAATAATAAAAGAACATGAATAAAAAATATTTAAATAAAATTTTGTTTCGTTCATTTTGAAAAGAAAAAAGGAATAAAGCAATGTTTTTTAAAAATAGCTGAATTAATGTACGGCATGAAATGACTGGTTTGATAAAAATATTGAGTGAAAATCTGCATCTGCTAACTTCAATTTTTATTTAAATTTTTAGAATTCTTTTATCATACCATTTAAATTTTTTTCATTTTTACTCTCTAAGTATTTCCTGAAAGTTATCGATAAAATTCAAGTAAAAACTTTCGCGTAGAAAATTAATTGATAATAAGGCCATGATATGTAAACCTTCTTAATTAAATTTCAAAGAGGAAAAGAAATTAAAATGCAATTTTAGAGATATGTAACTGTTACATCCGAAGTTTAGGACTTTATAATGCAATAATTACAACCTCACGTAACCGTATCCGAATTAACAATCTTCGGAAAGGAAAACAAAAGTGAAATGTTCCTAATAGATTCAAGACAATTGTTTTTCTTTCTGGGGATCATAAAAACGGACAACAAGATCCATTAGGGAACAGTCTAATCCGAACATTATTCAAATCTCGAAACCAATTGAGAGATATATAATTAAAAATTAAGAATTTGCGTGAGTTTGGGTTCTTTTTATGTTTGTTTTTAAAATCGTTTGCCTGTATCATTTGGAACGTTTTGAGAACAGGACGTCATGCGTGACGTCACAAATTGAACCGTATATAGAACGATGGCCAGAGGAAAAATGACTGAAAATAATTGACATTTTGTGGGAAGTGATTCGCAGGTTTGGGTTGTCCACCCTCAAATATTTTTAACTTAATCAGAATAGAAAAGAAAACACGACAAAGAAGAATGTCTTCAGCATCTGGCAACACTATTTGCATCTTTGGATTAATGATGGTTTTGGGTAAAAATTTTGGAATAGATAAATACTTTATATGTTATCTATATTTTATTTATATTATTTTAGCTCTGTACATTTTATGTAAAATATTTTTTTAAATTTTGTTTATTAGCTAAATCATTTTTATTTCCCCTTTAACAGTTTTTCCTCATAAAAAGAGTCTGTATTACATGAGTCTAACACTTTTTCCATAAAAGTCTTCTATTAATATGATATTTTTCATTAAATATGTATGCATTGTATCGTTTTTCAATATGATGCAATCTAGTTAACTTTAAATATAAATTGTAAACACAGATTTAGGTAATAGAACAGTAAATTATTCCTATATGTAATAATTCACTTCTCTCTTTTCCTAAATATAAGATAATTATCTATTGTAAATCACTTTTAAAATACAATAATGCGTATTAATTTTCTACATAAAACTACTTCTGAAATTAAGAGCTTTTAACACAATCGTAAAAATGATTTCCATTGAAAATATAATTTATATACATTCGAGTCAAATAATATTTATATTATTCAAGAAATCAATTAAGGATTGTTTGGATGAAATAGTTCTGAACACAAAATTTCTTATTTGCTTAGAGAGCATGGATTTATTTGATATAGATTTTTAATTAATGTTTTTTTTTTAACCAATTAGCATATTTTTAATGTACAGGGAAAGATGATTTTCTTCAAAGAGTGAAAAACATACAAAAGATATTCTTGGTATTTCGGTTTCCACTTTTATATTATGATTTACTTATATAGTTTCCGACTACTTATTTCTGCTTTTCCAGTTACTGTTTTAGTTAAAGATTTAAAATTGAAATCTAATCCCTTAACAATCTAAAATGAAGGTGAAAAGTTATGAAGCATCCAATCGCTGTGTAATAATGTCAATGAAAAATCGAAAAGGTTAAATTAAATTGAAAAAACGAAATTGACTCTATGGTTCTTCATTATGTTTGTCGCAAGTGATTTGTTATTCAAAACTGTTATTTCGTAATAATTGGTTTTAATTAAAAAAAAATAATTAAAACCCTTTACCCCTTTTACCATCCAAAATAAAAAATAAATTTTAAAGGGCTTTTAAGCTGAACAACATTTTATTCTATTATGGTTATATTACATAAGTTTTAACTGCTTTAATTGTATGCAAAGATTCTATATTCAGAGAAATGAATATCTGTATTTAGAATAATGAAAAACACCGTATTTTCATTGAAAAATGTATACATTTGGTGCAAGCTAATGCTTTTAAATTTGGGACAAGTTACTGAAAAATACTAAGAAATAAGTTTTGATAAAAAAGAGCTTTTTTTATTTAAATTTTAAAACTTAAAAAAGATGATAGATTTTTTTGTGAAAATAATTTTCTTCAAAATAAAGACCTTCTAGGTCGCTTACAAATTGCAAAAATTTAGTTAGATATAATTAATTATGTTTTTAAGAAGAAAAAAACTGAAAAAATATTTTTTCTTCAAGAAAATGACATTTTTATTAAAATTTTCTAAGTTAGAAAAAGTAATAGATTTTTTTGAGCAAATGATTTTCGTAGAAACGAGGCATTTTCAAACAGTATTCAAACTGACAAATATTTGAGTTATAAGTTTGTTGTAAAAACATGATTTCAAAGTTTGGTTAAACTTTAAGAAGGAAAGACTGAAAAATGTTTTTTTTCTCCATATTTTTCTGAAAATGAAATATGAAACTCCTTTTAAATGTTTAACTTGCCAGTAAAGGGAAATGAATTTCATAACTTTTAAACGGAGGAAATAAGTTTTAAAATATATTCGCCGACTCAATTAATGATCCTATTTAATTAAAAAATTAACATCATTTGGATTATTGTAATGATTTCATTTTCCGGTAGATTTTTTATCATGATGATTATTTTTAATTAATTTTTAAATAATTTAAATAACAAATCCTAATTTTTAGACATTTTTGCGTAAAATGCAACTATTTTGCAGAAATGTTTTATTTTCATAAAGAATCATATGTAAATGAACTTCTATTTAAATTTTCCATGTAAAATTACTGATGAAGTTAAACAAAGACATTTTTAGGCTTTACTAAACTAATAAGTAAAAATTATATATTTTTTTAGAATAAGTATAGAACTAAACCAATGCTTTCGAATCTAGTTGTCTGTTTCAATTATTTGTAATTTAATTAGTTGTAACTCAATTAATTTTTAAGTAATTTTAGATTAATTAAGGTACTATGATTAGTTTAAAAATATACTCATAATAATATTAGTCTGTCATGCATTTCATTTGGTAGAACAGCTAAATAAACTCTAGAACTTCCATGACAGAATTCCATTAATAAGGATTTCTAAGCAATCAGGGTTTTGAACTGGCAAGTACTGACGTCAAAGAAAATTTCAAGGAGAATCATTCTGGGTAAAGCCGAGGCTTACCCTAGACTTTTGCACCAATGATGATAATGTTATGTATTTTACTTCTAGATGACTGTTTGAGAGGTACTGATTTAAGAGGTACTGATTTAAGAGGTACTGATTATGAATTATTTTCAATTAAGGGATGGATTTAAAATAAATTCCATCTGATAGTAGAAAGATACTTTGAAAGTTTATCAGACTTTTAATGTAATGAACCTCATAACTTGTTTTGATCAACTGCGCGGTTAAAGGCAAATAATTTTTAAAGAGCTATAAAATTGTAAAAAAAAATCTATACAACTACACTGTTGCATTTTAACCTATACTTGTAATTTAAGAAAAATCACTTCGTCTTAGTATGTGTTGGTGGGAGTTCGACACCGTCAGTGTCATGTCGGAAAATTAAAAAATGGATTTTACTACGTTAGATACTAACTGAATTATGCTTTCTCCTTAAAAAAAATTACCATTGAAAAGCAATACGCTGATCTCATGCTTTATTTGAGCTTTTTTTACTTGGTTTTTGAAGTTTGAAATATATACTAGGGGGCTTCGCCCCCTGTTCGCTGGCGCTTGCCAACCCCTGGAACTGCTTTCGCAGTTCATTTCGGATTGCTTCGTAATCCGATGCTCGCTTTCCTCGCTCATTGGATACGTTCTTAACGTCTAGCTTTTGTATACTTTTTTGAACACTGAAGTTCCGAAAACTTTTCACTGTAGAAAATTCTAAACCTGTGCATTTCAATATTAATTTGAAATTGCAAACAGTTCACATATTTTTCTTAATCACACTATTCTAAATTTCAGTTGTTGAGAAAATTAACTGTTGTAAGTTTTGTTTTAAAGTCTTTCCCACCAGAGGGCTAAGACCATGTGTTGTAAAACAATATGAAATAGTACTGAACGCCGGAAGTAAAGCATCGGCTTCGATGCAGATAATTTTGTGCGAATTTTTTTGATAATTCGGTGAGAATTCACCCAACTAACCATATGATGCTCACTACGTGCTCTTGCCCGCCGAAGCCTATCAATTAAAACGTATTAGCGTTTTATATAATATAGATTAGCCATATAATGCTCACTACGTGCTCTTGCGCGCCGAAGCCTATCAATTAAAAATAAAAACTGTTGCCTACGCGAGAAAAGAAATATCATCGGTTTTATTGAT